TGCCTTTGAACAGGCTTGATGAGTCCGTAGCTAAATAATGAGCAAGGTCACCATCCACGGCGACGATGGACAGCCCTCTCAGGTAGCTGCCGACACCATCGAGATATTATATAGGGCATATCGGGGGATGGACTTTCAGCGTAGATATCAGGAAAATTTGGCCATCCCATGCGTGGTAGCTTCCGGGTGTTCGACTTTGCACTTCGACTTTACCCGTCGGACACGAGTCGCTGCAGGTGTGAGCCAAATCGAGCATGAGGGGGTCGGATAATACAACTTGACTTTTGTTTGTCCCACCCCCCAGAAACCGACGCGTTTGGTCGCGTGGGACAGGCCCTCGAATTAATTGCGAACATTTTTCTGGACGATTCGCGGTTTTCGTCTCGCCAGCACTCTGGAATTTTCCAGCACGCGTCGCCATCGGTAAGATTTTGCTTACTTGGACCAGCAACCGCTTCCGACTGCGGGCGCCGTAAGCTCAGCGCGGCCCGTGAATTAATTGCGCCGACCCAGGGGTGTTACAAGCAAACGCGTTTGGGTTAATTTATGGGCGATTGCTAAGATGGAACCAATCGGATAGATTAATCGTATGATGGAACCAAGTGGTCGAGAAAAGCATGATGGAACCAATATTCATGCCTATGATGGAAACAATCTAATGCGGGTTTGTCGACGCTACCTGAACCAATACCACTCAATGGACACTTTGATCATCTCCATACCCTGGTGATTAAAAACCCGCACGCCCATTACTTAGTGCGCGTAGAAAGTTTATGAAATAGATGATGGAACCAAGACTTCGACGCGAAATACATGATGGAACCAAGACTTGCGACTCCATTTTTCACCATGTCCTCGACAAGGCTTATTGCTTGGTTCCAACATAGATTTTGCGCCATATGATTCCAACGTAGATTCGCGAAATGCATGATGGAACCAAGACTTGCGACTCCATTTTTCACCATGTCCTCGACAAGGCTTATGGCTTGGTTCCAACATAGATTTTGCGCCATATGGTTCCAACATAGATTTGCGCCATAAATAGGAAATAAATAGGAAATAAATATCTAAATAAATGCAGATAAATATGAACGGGCAAATAAAAGAGCCGAGAATAACGGGGGCTATAAATGGGCAGCTACCCCAGCCGAGTGGG